CCGGGCTCTTTGGTTTTAAAAGTATTTCGACCGTATTGGATAATGCGCCGGCGGTCACGGTCAACCGTTGGGCGATCGGAGTGTGCGGTTTTTGGGGCCGACCTTTTCTAACCCGTCCTTCCTCGGGGGAAGGCAGCATCGCTGCTTCCATAAATATGGACATGTTGGTCGCCTGGGGGAAACACCTTACTGCCTTCACACTCCTGTCGCAGAGGACAGTACGACTTTACCCCCAGACCGCCTAATAGCACGATTACTCGTAGTACGGGGTCTCGCTGCTCTTGATCTGGATGCTCCCCTTTGGCCTTCCTGGCCCAAGTGGTTAGAGCGCGAATTTATTGACCGGAAGGTCCGTGGTTCGAATCCGACCTCCGCCACTCGACTTCCCCTGTCTAGGCCTGGGCAACCTGGCAGTATCCCAGCCCTCGTGCTTCCTTCGGGTGGCATGGCAGCTAGGCACCGGAAGGGTGCTACAGCTGAACGCTTCCTGGCATGGTTGCACCTTCTAGAACGAAGTTCCAGCCAGTGTAGCCCGCGGGATCATTGCAGCACTGAAGCCCGACCACCACGTCAAGGTGGCAGCTTTAGGTGGGGTCAACATCAGTGTTGATAAAGATGCTTCAGTGCCGTATAACCGTAAAATGTATCTAATTATATTTATGGAGAGAAGACAAGAGTGGGTAAGAGAGGATCTGGTGCTGGTCTGTCGCAAGCATCCTGAGGCTCCTACATCTCCAAGCGACCAATCAATCTGAAGAGAATCTGGCAATACGAATGGCAGTAATAACAATCACCCACCATTCCTAGCAATGTCTGCAGCCAAGCGCACGAGGGGTTACGGGAAACCCATCCTGGAAAGCGTACCGCACCAACAGGACCCACTCATTGTAATCTCCTTCGCGCCCCTCTGCCAACCCATACGTTGCCCATTTCGCGTTTTGCGCCAGCCAGGAGGAACAGAGAACACTCATTTCGATAGACGGTGTGTCGGTATGCGTAGCATGTGGCCGAGCCACCGCAGTTGATCGTGCTGGATGTCTTCCGCAAATAAGACACCTGCTGCACAACCAAGCACACGCTTTTTAATAACCTCGTTACGAATTCGCTGATGTCATACGAGGCATCTGTGGTCAAAACCCTAATAGGCCACGTTTCGCAACCATACAACAGTAGAGCCCTTTCTGTAGCCTGATAGACGCGACCCTTAAGACCCAGTGGCATGTTTTTTCAACATCCCGGTTGACGCGAACCAGCAAACGTGATTCTGGACCTTGAGATTCATACAGTGACATCATCAGACACACTTCCGACGGAGCAGAGATACTTTTAAACGGCTCACCATATACTCTCACACGTCCAGAAGTATGTGAATGTAGGAACAGCATTATGATGGCAAACTTCTAGGGCATATTCTTCTCAAAAAGTTCGGTAATAATAATAATAATAATCATAATAATAATGTTTCAGCTGTAGCATTCTTTCGGTGCCTAACTGCCATGCCACCCAAAGGAAGCACGAGAACTAGGGTACTGCCAGGTTTCCAAGACCAGACAGGAAAAATCGGGATTCAGAGGTCAATCCCCAACCACGGACGTTCTGGTCAGCGAATTCGCGCTCTAACCAATGAGCCATCTCGTCCTTCAAGTCTGGTCAGCAGCACTGACCAACCGACAGAATCGAACACACCCCTGAAGTTAAGGGAAAAAAGATTATGGATCGTCTGTATATGCGGCGTTGCTCCAATCCCTAACAGAGTCATCACCTTTATAGGCTGTAAGAACCGCGTACTTACCATACAGTGGTTGTGGCTGCCACAGTTTCGTTCACTGATGAGTTGGGGAGGGGCAGGTAGCTGCACATGGGAGGCGTGAGCTGGTAAATTGTTGCGTGAATACAGGTTGTCACTGGACTGTTAATTGGAGGGTTGTGAAGAGAGCTACGCATTGAAGACCTTGGATGCACGAGCACCAAGGGGGTGAGTGGGTCATGTCTAAAAATATTTCTGGCTTGATTTTTAGCTGCAGCACTCTTTCGATGCCTAACTGCCATGACATCCGAAGGAAGCATTTTTAGCTCACTCTTTCGATGCCTAACTGCCATGACATCCGAAGGAAGCACGAGGGCTGAGATACTGCCAGGTTGCCCAAGCCTAGACAGACAGGTCGAGAGGCAGAGGTCGG